AAGGGGGTAAAAGGGTGTGTTGCAGCAGCCAGTCCGCTGAGGGGATGGGTTAGAGGAGAAGGAAGAAGAAGAAGAAGAGGGGTAAAAGGGTGTGTTGCAGCAGCCAGTCCGCTGAGGGGAGGGGTTAGAGGAGAAGGAAGAAGAAGAGGAAGAAGAAGAAGAAGAAAGGAGCACACTGATAAAAAAACAGGCTGATGACCACTCCCGGAAACAAAGTCATATGGTGGGAGATTTGAGTGTCAAAGTCTCTCTCTCTCTCTCTCTCTCTCTCTCTCTCTCTCTCTCTCTCTCTCTTCCCCCCCCCAACTTTTGCGCCTTCAGGTAATGTTCCACTGCTCTTGAGCTCGTGCCCCTCCAAATCTGCGTTCACAACCGACACCTCACCCAATACTCACCTCTCCCTCCTGACCCTGTTCCTCGTACTTCCACACAGGCTTCTCCCTCGGCAGCTTGTCCTGCCTCGCCTTGTCATGTGGAACGAACATTGAAGGGTCCGTTGCCGGCGTGGGGTCTTTGGAGGTCACTGTCGATGCGGGTGTAGTGGAGGTGCTTGCAACTTTTCCTTTTCCTTCTGCTGCCGTTTTGACTCTCCTCCTTCCAGACCCGCCACTTCCCCCTCCAATGTTGCTGCCACCGCCCGCCATAGCGCCGTGGAAATAGAGGATGCAAGGACCAACAGCGAGGGAAAAAATAAAGTAAAATATCGGAAGAAGAAGAAGAACGAGAAGAAAAAGAAGAAGCATTGCAAGGAGATAATGTGGTAGTAGTAGAAGAAGAAGGGAAGAAGAATAAGAAGTCTGTGTGGTTGTGAATGGGGGCTGCTGTCTGACCGCTTACGTCCTTTTTTGGGGCAGGAAAAAAAAACGAACGGGAGAAAGCGGGCAGTAGGATATGGCAGGCGGGACAATATGGCTGGCGGATGTGCGAGATGGTGGGAGGTCAGATATGGAGGAGGAAAAAGACGAGGAGGGAAGAAGAAGACGAAAGGAGGAGGGAAGGAGGAGAAAAAAGATGGAGACTTGAAAAACGAAACAGACGAAAGGAGGAAGAGGAGAGAAGAACACGCAGGAGGAAGAGTCGAAGGAGGAGGAAGAAGAGGAAGATCAAGAAAGGAGGAAGAAGAAGATGATGAAAGGAGGAGGAGCAGGGAAGAAGAAGATGAAGGGAGGAGGAGGGAAGGATAAGAAAGGAGGAGGAGGAAGACCTGCCGGTTTTGTATGGCGATGACAGAAGAAAAAGAAAGAGGACGAGGAAGGAGGAGGGGAGAGAGAGAAAGAGAGAATCCCGACACGTGGCAATGTTCAACGCATTGTTGTTGGCACGTGGCACTTGCCTACTAAAGAAAAGCAATGAAATAGGGAGGAGGACAAGGATGTGGATGAGGAGGAGAGATGAAGACGAGGAGGAGGAGAGAAGAAGACGAAAGGAGGAGGAGGAGGAGGAGGAGAGAAGAAGAAGAAAGGAGGAGGAGGAGGAAGAGAAAGGAGGAATAGAGAAGAAGACGAAGGGAGGAGGCGGAGGAGGAGGAGGAGGAGGAAGAAAGAAGAAGATGAAAGGAGGAGGAGGAGAGAATAAAAAAGGAGGAGGAGAGAAGAAAAGGAAGACAAGAGGAGGAGGAGGAGGAGGAGAGAGAGAGAGAGAGAGAGAGAGAGAGAGAGAGAGAGAGAGAGAGAGAAATCCCGACACATGGCAGTTTTAAGCCCACTGCTATTGCCACGTTGCACTTCGCCTAAACAAATGAAATAGGGAGGAGGAGAAGGGAGGAGGAGGAGGAGGAGAGAAGAAAAAGAAGGCGAGAGGAGGAGAGGAGGACGAGGAGGAGGACCTGCCAGTTTTGTATGG